AGCAGCTGCTCGTGCGAACGGTCCTTTAGTGCACTGCGTCGGCTGCACTCCTGGCTGCGTCAAACAATGGGTCAGAAAAGACTTCACAGTCTTGCAGTCATGTCTATTGAAAAAGACACGCTTCAGCATCTGAGTCACAACAGACGTCATTCTTTGATGCTTCCACCCACCAAGTAACTGGTGATTGCAGCCAGAAAAATGTACTTTTTTATTTTCAGTTTTTTTCTTGTTATTGATGCGGCAAACACATTTCCTCTGTTTTTTTGTTGTACTGTATTATAAAGCAGACTGAAATAAAACAATAGATCTATTGGTGGCCTAGGATGTTTAATCTGTCCAAAAAAGTAGGAAAACAATTTCTCAGTCTTTGTTTTCTGTTTGTGAAATTTTGTGCTCATTCACTACGTTCGTTCATGTCGTGTGCATCTCTTGGGGGCTAAGCCCCCCCTGTCCTTAAAACCTAGTGACACCCCTGACAGACACTATCTCTACTTTTAAGATTAGGCTTAAAACTTTCCTTTTTGCTAAAGCATATAGTTAGGGCTGGACCAGGTGACCCTGAATCCTCCCTTAGTTATGCTGCAATAGACGTAGGCTGCCGGGGGATTCCCATGATGCATTGAGTTTTTCCTTTCCAGTCACCTTTCTCACTCACTATGTATTACAGTTTTTTACAGACGCTAGGACACATTTCTCAATACTTACGTCACTTTTGCAAAACTCCTCACACAGTGAGCACAACAGAAGTCTATGTGGGCTAAACTGAGGACCAGTTATCATTGTTTTGGCACAAAATGCATTCAATGACTACATCTCTCAAATTTCATGAATCATCTTCTCACTCAGACACAACAACTGCCAAAAATCTTTGTACGTACAGGACACTTTGCATGTGCTTACATACTGTTTTCAAAACTGTTAAACTTATGGCCAAAACAATAACACAATGCAAAACTTGAAAAGACAGCAAAATCCAACAGCAATATTTTATTGAAACATATTTTAAATCTAAAAATGCAGTTTAACCAGCCACAGCTGATTCTCATTGTAGATGAACCTCTACACAGGTGTTACTCCTTCAATTTTTCAACTCCTTCAATTCTGGCAGCCAGAAGATTCTTTCCTAGGTGTGTTGCCCTAGATGACATAAGATGTGATGTGGATGAGAACCTGTGGCCAAATGGAGGAGACAGAGTAGATTAGCATTACTATTGTATGTGTATCAGTGGATGGTGTGTGTATACAAATTCTTGTATTTTGGGATTACTTAGTGCAAAAAAATAAAAAAAATACATAAACAAATATTAACGAATTCTGCATGATGTCTGATTCATTCCAGTAACATATATTGAAATTATAAACAGAGATGTGTCCTTGTTTTACACAAGAAAACACTGTGTAATGCTACATGTTGTTAGTGTTTTTTAGGTCATTGTTTTGTGGGTGACAAAGTGTGTTTGTCGGCTGTCAACCTTTGCTAGTGTTCTGGAAGAATGAGTTTATTTGAGACCTGAATGAAGTGTTTTGGTAGTTGTAGTGCATTTTGAATGTGAAATGAACTGCTTTGCCAAGGTGAGGGTCAGTTAGGAGAATTGTGTGAAGAGTTTTGCAAAAGTGACCTAAGTATTGAGACATGTGTCCTAGCGGCTGTAAAAAACTGTAATAGACCTCTCTGCATTGAATCATATTTGTTATTAACCTCTGTTTCTCTTCCACAGCATGTCTTTATCCTGTCTTCCTTCTCTCATCCCAACCGGTCGCAGCAGATGGCCCCGCCCCTCCCTGAGCATGGTTCTGCCGGAGGTTTCTTCCTGTTAAAAGAGAGTTTTTCCTTCCCACTGTCGCCAAAGTGCTTACTCATAGGGGGTCATATGATTGTTGGGTTTTTCTCTGTATCTATGAAGCGCCTTGAGGCGACTTTTGTTGTGATTTGGCGCTATATAAATAAAATTGAATTGAATTGAATTGAATTGAATTGAATAGCTGCCAGGAAAAGGCAGGCGAACGGACAGGTGAACAAGGTCCTGGCTGGCGTGTGGAAGGAGAGGAAGTCCGTGGCAGCGTAGAGGCAGGTGGGGAGTGTGTGTCTTGCTGAAGCAGCGATGGGGAAGATTTAGTGAGTGAGAGAGTAAGCTCACCAGCCCTGACTTGCTCTCTCCAGGCAGTTATGGTGTTCTCCAACTTAGTGTCCTTAGCAAACTGAGAAAGCTGAGGGTTATGCCGAATGATGGCATCTACTGCACTTAGCCCTACTGTAATCATTTTTCAGAAACAAAAAATAAATGTGAAGGATTTTTGTGAAACTTTACAAAATTGCTGAAATAGAGAAAAGCCAAATACTAGTGAAATTACACGAATCAGGAAAAGACAAAGAAAATACATACAGTCTGAGAACATAGCACCAACTACTGTATAGTCCAGTAAAGTCACGCGGCATACCTTCAGCAACCACTTTATTAGGTACACTTGTTCCACTGCAATGCAATGCTGGACAGTATTCAAGAAAGTGAGCGATCTAGAGCTGTGCCTGACAAAAGTACAAACTGTTTGATGAGTTGTCAGTTTCAAGTGTGAAGTGCATCAATACAGTAACAAAATATCTTTAGTGGTGAAGCATGTGTAGAAACAGCAAAGGTGTGTGTGAAGACAATAAGAATCCTTGATGTGGGTGAGGAAATGTGTTATTGATTTGAGAACTGCATTAAGAATCGTGAGAATGACTTTTCTGCTGTGAGCCAGTTGAGCCAAAGCGACATTACATGCTCAAAACAAAAGCACTGACTGAGGTGACAAGCTTCTCTGTGATGCTAATAATAAAGTATGACCTACAAGAGTTCTATTCCTATTTCTCTCAAACAATGTCTAAATGACCTTGATAGCCTGCATTCATTTTATTTTTGTACATTCCGGCTTTGTTGTGCAGTGTGCATGTAGAATTGACTGAGCAATTGTCATTTAGTGGGAACTGTGTTCAAGGTTTTCTTTGACTGCACAGATGAATTTTTATTTCAGTTATGATGTGTGCCAACTGTATTGTCCTGTGACACAATGGGAATAATTGTTTACACAGTGTTATTATAGGAAATATCATAGGACGCAGAGGTCGTATAAGACATATTGATGTTTCATTTGCCATCCACTTGGATTCAGACACAAGCACAATTCTGGTGAGGTGAGTCATGTATAGAGCCAACAATACCAGCTCAAGATGGTGGTTGTAGCTCAGGCGGTAGAGCAGGACATCTACTGATTGGAAGGTTGGCTTCCCCTACTGTGCATGCCAAATATCCTTGGGCAAGATACTAACCCCAAATTGCTCTTTGATGCATCCATCGGAGTATGAATGTGTGTGTGAATGTTAGTTAGAAAGCACTAAGAAAATGTGCTTGTGCGAATAGGGGTGAATGCACAAAGAGTGCTCAGAAGAGTAGAAAAGAACCAGTCCATTTCCCAAATATATTCATGTACACCTAGAAATGTGTGTCAAGTCAAAAGGTAGTCCTTTTTTGAGATATTTGAAACTTGGCATTCAGGAAGGTGCAAGGTTCTTTATTTGCCATTTGTGCATAAAACCAGCAGTCAAGGCACATTGGAATTCGTCTGCAGAGCTCCCTCAGTCATAGTAAGCATGTTAGAAAAATATAAAGAAATAAAGAAGACAAGACAATACTAATATAAATTGTAAATTATAAATTACACCCACCTTTACAAGAGGGGGCTCTGGAGGAGCTGGATGGAGTGAGTCCAGCAAACATCTCCCTATTTTATGCTGTATTTAAGTTTCCCTGCTGCCAAGGAATGCTTTGGAAAAGAACAAAAGCTTTTAACACAGTTCTTGGACCACGAGATTTGCTTAATCACAAAGTATCTTTTACTGACACTCTACACCTCATCAGTGAGTCATGTTGGCTCCCCCCCTTGTCAAATGATTTCAGAGTTTGACAGAAAGGTGTACCTGTAGTTGTAACATGTCAGTGTTTTTTTTTTTTAAATAAAGTAAATATGGAAAAACAAATATCATATATAAGTTAAAGCATTTAATTTTGGTAAGAGGCTTAAAGCCTCTCTTAAATGTAATGTATTTTGTTTTCATAGCTCAGTCACATTAAAGAGTGTTGTAGTGCCACCCAGTGGTCTTACCTGTACTTACACCCTGTGCCAACTTCCTTTGTGCAGCTTACTGTGTGTTCATCAAGAGATATTTTTTATATTCTCAGCTGATGTTTTAGTATTAAAAACATAATAATAGTTGCAAAAAAGAACAGAATTATCTCCTAACCTTATTTTACTAAACAAGCAAACAAACAATGATGACAAAAGCCAGAAGAGCTACAGTTCTCAAAACAAAAACAAGTATCCATTAAAGTGATATACACATTAATATATCAACAATTATGATAGCCAGTTTAATAATTTACATGACTCTGCACTGTGAATATTTGTGCTTCTGCATATTAGATTTTAAAGCTTTTATACTGTGAGACCATTTAGAGCCAACCTGACTTCTACTTTTTACTTTAGAATTTAAATTGTAGTTTAATACAAAACCCACAGCAAAATACAACCCCACGTGTTACACACGAACATGTGGCTGTAGCTGGTCAAATTCAAACATAACCAGCGGATGTAGCAATTCTAACCTTCAAAATAAAATAGAAGAATACTTTGGACCACTTTCTTAACTTATTTAAACCTAACTATACAGTACAAATAAGGATACAATTCATACCATATCCATTTTATGACGGCATTCTTAATGGAACTATTATTACAGCAATGGAACAATAAAATAGCATTTTATAAAATGCTATCCCAAAGCTAGGTTATCAAATGGGATAAAATGGGGAACACTTGAATTCCTTAAACCTAAATCGCTAAGAGCCCCACAAGACTTATTCAATACCCCTGCTTTTAGTATTTATCTTTGAGAAGTTTGCACTAATTTACGTCCGTATGACTTCTCATTGTGTTCCAGTTCGTCGCAATGCTTTTAAACTGAAGGTACGTAACGGATACAGTGTCGCTCATTTCCCTGAAGTTAGCTTGCGTGGTTCTCCGGGAGACTTTTTGCAACGTGGTTCTGGAGCTCCACAAGTAATCAGGTAGTAATATCATTAAACTACTCGGTCCACTTTTTATAATATTTGTGTCGAATTTGCTGTGGGAAGTTTTCGTTCTTCATACTGGTTTTTGACTGTAGTACCTCTGTGGGAGTTAAACGGGGCTAACGAATAGCACGTTAGCTATGTTTAGCTTCTGCATGTAAACAGTACACGTGTTTACATAAACAATACACTTATTTACGTGTGCAAACGTGTGTTTGGCTTGGTGTGGCCTGGAGGTTACTTTTGACCGTTGGTCACCTTTGTACTCATGAAACTGACCAGAAACTGACCTGGTGTCATGGTTAGCGCTGTTGACTTTGAATCCAGCGATCCGAGTTCACGTCTCCTGAGACCTCGGCCTCCATAATGCCGTTGTACACGTGCAATGACAATGAAGGGCTGTGTTATATAAGTGGACGTAGTTTTGCAGATAGTTGTTGTTATTATTATGTTTTTTTTTATAATTATCTGGGCAAACTAGTCACCTCATAGTGTGTCCGACTAGTTTTGCATTTGGCTAGGGTGTCAGTACTGGTAGCAGCAGGCAATACTTGGAACCTACACAGGTTTCACAGTCCAAATCCTCCATCATGGAACATCAATATGTGTCTTTGCTGTGTCCCCCGGTAAAGTCTCAAGAGCATGGAGGAAACTCCAGGAGACAGAGCTAGACAGGGCCGTAGAAGGTCCCTAACTAGTATCTGCTCCTTTGAGGAATGACGAATAATATGAGCACTGCCAGAGCAGTGACCTCCAGCAGGCCACTGGTGTGAATGTCTCTGACCAGATTGTCAGAAACCAGCCTCAAGAGGGTGGCCTCAGGGCCTGACATCCTCAAGTGGGTCCTGTGCTCAGTGTTTAGCACTGTGGAGCCCAGTTGGCATTTGCCATATAATACAAAAAAAAGAATTTGCAGGTCCACTACTGGCACCCTGTGCTTTACCCCCAGCACACGTGACAGACATGAAAGGCTTTGGAGTAGTGATGTGCGATACCACTGATTTCCTTTCCGATCCGATACCAAGTAATATTCAGGGTGGTATCAACGATACTGATCCGATACGATACTTTGTACAAAAACGTATTTTATTTATTGTATCTCAAATTATAGCGTCATAATGATTACAGGACATAAGATTACTTGTTCTTATCACTTAATAATGCAGGGTTCATCATATAGAAATAAAAAAACTGAAGTTGTGGCTATTTGAACACCTTGCCTGCCTGCAGCACTAAAGGACTCCGTGAGAGACGTCTGTCTCGCCCTAGCAGCACCTGTCCCTCTCCTCCTCTTCAGTTCGCCTCAGCATACGCGCCTCATATTCTGTGATATGATTTACTTTGAGGTGTTTGACAAGGTTAGTGATGTTGCCACAACCATACATGCCAACCCTCCCGATTTTTCCGGGAGAACCCCGGAGCCACCATTCTCCCGAATTTCCACCTGGACAACAAAATTAAAAAACCATATCGCAGAATTCCAGTTTCCACCAATGGCGGCAGCTACTTAGTTTTAATATTACTCTTATTTCTCTTTCTGGGTCGCAAAAAAAAACTTTTAACATATTTTCAGGTGAGAATGTAGCTGTGTAAACTTCAAATATCTGAGCTGACCGACACATCGTCTTCAAACCCCCGCGGTCTTTCACTACTCAGGTTAAACATGATATATAAGTCACTTTGATAACTTAAAAAATGTTATTGTTTGGCTTTTTCAGTGTTTTATTTGTTCGTGAGTAAATCGGTTTGGCTGAGATTAAAGTTATTAGATTAGATTAAATTAAATGTAACTTTATTAATCCCTTGGGTGGGTTCTTCTGGGGTTTTCACACAGCTGAATAAACGTCAAACAGAAAAAGTGTGAGACGGTCGAGAGTTTACGCCAGCGCCCGGGTTATATTTTAAATAGCAAGGAGCAGACGGCAGAGTTTCACTCCACCGAGGGAGCTCGTGACGTACTACCCGGCTTCCTTTAGACCGCGAAGGGCGGGTCCTCAGGTGGAAGCAGCCTCTGAATTTGGACACCCCCGCTGTTTCCGGGCCAGCAAATAATAACGGTGACATTTAACGTATTTTATCCGATAAATAAACCCTGTAAAATGTATTTATCACACCTGATTGAATAGTTTTCTTATCAGATAGAGAAATAAAATGAGTCGCAAAATGTAGAGGCAAAATTTCCCCACCTGGGCTGCCTTGCGCCTCCGTCTGTTTCAACGTGTGACCCCGCCCCTCCCTCGGACAGTCGGGGATGAGTGCGCTAACATACCTGTAGGTCGCTGTTTTAATGAGTGTTTGATGGAAAACAACAATGGCGGAGTTTGCGCTCTCCAGACGCATGATAGGTGAGTCCTAGTAAATAATTTTCCAGTACGTGTACTGTCAATAGAAAATTGTACTTAGTAGTCAGTATACCGTATTTTCACGGCCATAAGACGCACTGTACTAAAAGGCGCAGTCTCAGTTATGTGTGCCATTACTGTATTTAACACACACATAAGGCACACTGGATCATAGGGCGCATACAAGTACCGTATGCGTATTTAAAAATAAAGCAGGAGCAAACTGAGTTTGGTACTCACATTTTTATTACCAGTAATCGTCATCATCAACAACACACAAGCATACAAGTGTGCATATTTAAAAATAAAGCAGGAGCAAAACAAAGTTTGGTACTCACATTTTTATCATCAATCAAACCCATCGAAGTCCTCATCCTCTGTGTCTGAATTGAACAGCTGCGCTAAATCTCCATCAAACATGCCAGGTTCACTTTCTTCACCGTCAGAGTCACTTTCCGTGCCGTGCGGCTCCTCGGAAACGATGCCGGCCTTTGCGAAAGCTCGAACAACAGTGCCAGCAGACATGTTAGCCCAAGCATCTACAATCCATTCGCAAATTGTGGCGTAACTCGCCCGGCGCTGCCTTCCACTCTTAGTGAAACTGTGGTCCCATCGGTCATCCATCGCTCCCAGGCCGCTCGCAGCCTTACTTTGAACGGGCGGTTCACACCGATGTCCAGCGGTTGGAGTTCCTTTGTCAGGCCTCCCGGAATGACAGCAAGCTCACAGTTCATTTGCTTCACAAGTTTTTTTTCACATCGGCTGTGAGATGGGCACGCATAGAGTCACAGATCAACAGCGATGGTGATGCGTGGAAAAAACCACCTGGTCTCCTTACATACACCTCCCTCAGCCACTCTTTCATCATTTCCTCATCCATCCAGCCCTTTTCATTTGCCTTAATGATGATTCCTGCTGGAAACTTCTCTTTAGGCAAAGTCTTTCGCTTAAAAATCACCATAGGCGGCAGTTTCTGTCCATTAGCATGGCAGCCAAGCACAACAGTAAAAGAAGACTTTTCGTGCCCCGTTGTGCGTATCGCTACCGTGCTGGTCCCCTTCTTCTCCACAGTGTGACTCACCGGGATGTCAAAAGTGAGCGGGACCTCGTCCATGTTTGTGATGTGGCTGGGCTGGATGTTTTTGTCGCCAATGTGTTTGCTGCAGTAGGAGCGGAAGATGGCCAGCTTTTCATTATAATCCGCTGGAAGTTGCTGCGCTACCGTAGTCCTGGTCCGGATGGAAAAATGGCACCGTTTCATAAAAAGTGAAAGTGAAACTGCTTTTAGCCGAATGGTGACCGTCGAAACGCTTCTCCCGCTCGTTCTTTGCTCGATGATCCACCGCTCGAGTCTTTCCTCCAACTCGGGCCACCTCGCCTTATGTCCGCGGAAACTCAGCTGCGTTTTCTTGACCTGCCGGAGCTTGTTTTCTAGCTTCCTCCATTTGCGAACCATCGATTCGTTAATCTTAAATTCTCTCGCCGCTGCTCGATTTCCATGTTCCTCCGCGTAGCTGATGGCCTTCAGTTTAAACTGTGCTTCATAAGCGTGTCTCGTTGCCATTTTCAGGGTTGCGCCCACACTTCACCCTTTAGCGTTCTCATGGTGTTCTCTACTACGTCCTCCTTACAACACACAGGGCGCACTGCGCTATAGGGCGCGCCGTACTTTTTGAAGAAAATCTAAGACTTTTAAGTGCGCCTTATGGTCGTGAAAATACGGTAATCTTTTAATAATATAAGTCTGCAAATGATAGAATACGGCATGATGACCTTTTTATGATTCAGACTGTTGTTATAGTTAACTGTGACCCGTTATGCAGGGAAGGAGCAGTACCTGCTAGATAAGAGCTTAACGAGCAGTTTCACTTCGTGCCAGGTAGAGAAGCATCTCCTGGCACACACACACATCCACATTCCAATGTAATAAACGAATGCACCTACTGTTGTATATAAATAAAGACCAGGGCAGTGGCAGAGCGCGAGTCCCGGAGCCCTCACTCTTGTGCGAGTGCTCTGTGACCGCCCTTGCATGCAATTAAAACTGTGTGTCTCCACTCTCTGACTCTCAGCTGAAGAAGTGTTTAAGAATATATCTCTTGACATATACATTACACATGCTGTTTTTAAAAAATTATGATTATTATTTTGCTAGCTATCAAACTCGCTGGAGAAATGTTTGAAATGCACTGAGTGTGATGCAGTATGGCAGCGCTATTATGGAATATGCTGTGAACTTAGCTAACATTACTTAGCAGTGATATGAGTTACTTTGCTCAAGTGAAAGCTTTAAACATTAGCCTGATACATCACTAGCTAACTTAAGGCTTTCTGATTAACCCTCTGGGGTCGATGGACCCAGAGTCTCCATTTCAACTTGGGTCGAACGTGCAGACTTCAAACTATATGCCAGTGTTTAAATTGTGTTGATAGGCCAGGTAAAACCGATGTTTTTTGTTTTTAATAAAACAGTGGCATTTACTCCGGGAAGAAACTGTAAAAACTGCGTTTTCTAAGGAGAGTGCAAGCAAACACGTTTTGCTTGTGAGTGAAAGACAACAGTCATTGGTGAAAAAAGAAAAAAACACTCCTTCCCTACTGGTGGAAAAATGTACCATGTCGACCAATCAAAAAAATGATATGGCAACATGTGGCATTTGGTTGTTTGAGGGGGGGGAGAGAGAGAGAGAGATATGCAAAAAAGCCACCAAAGGCAGATTACAGGTCATGTTTACAGTCAAAAATATCACTTTCTACTCGTATTTTAAATTTTGTCTGAATTTAGATAAATTGTGCTGATACAATTTGTCAAAATGAGAAAATAACAGATTGGCAAGATAAACAGTTTTTAAAGGTGAAATATAGAGGCCAAATGAAAGTAGTCAAAAACAGCCAATTATATCCTGGACCCCCAGCTTTTTGGAGTATTTGAAATAATGGTAATATGAGTGATCCATATGGTCACAAAGAATAGCCACTTGTTTCTGTGCTACCAAAGTTCCCCGGCTTTCATTCAAAATGTGTTTATCTTCAGCACCTGCACATTAACCCTTGTGTGGTGTTCGTATTTTTGTTACTCAGCCAGTGTTCATGGGTCTGGTGGACCCGCTAGAGTTTTGGCTTTCCAAATTAACACTATCAAACAATTTTATGTTAAATTACTCAACAGATGTTTACTTCATCCCAATTACAAACCATATGAACAGCAAACATGATTATTTTTTTCCCTTTACCTTTGTTAGATCACATTTATGAATTAATGTGCTTCTCGTTTGTTTTTGTTTTTTTTTTAATAAAATGTTATAAAAAAAAAATAAATCAGTTATAATCAAGTGGAGTGAGTGGAAAGACACAACACATTTACACGTGAAGCAATATGTTTCACAACTAAATGGGATCAGCTGCTCATCAATGGTGATATTAGGCCCAGGGTTGTAAAACAGGGGGAGGTGTTGCACACACTTATCCCACACTGTCCTGATGGCAGCTAGCTTGTCTCTCTGCCGTTGAGCTGGTCTGTTGTCTCGGTTATCAAAACGAATAATCCTGGAAATTTTGTGGAAGTTTTCCAGAGACATTGATGCACAGAAAGGTTCGTGCCGGTTTCTGCATCCCACAGGGATTCTGTGGATTCCCCTTTGGACCTGAAAACTCCTGCAAGGATGAGAACCCCAAAGTAGGCCTTTGGGGTTCTTAGATTAATTTGGTCCATCTCCTTCCACCTCTCTCCAAAAACACACCTTCCTTCTAGATTACTGCAATCCAGAATAATTTTCTGGATGGAATCTGGGATGAAAAGCTCAAATGAAGACTTGATGTCCTGCACATGAGTAACTGTCAGCCGTGTTGGCCCTGGCTTATCACAGTAACAGCTCTGCAGGGTGGCTCATTTCTTGGGCAAGAAGACCATTCAATGTCACCAGTTATTGACATCCATATTTCTTCACTTGCTGTCTGGTGGGCTTTTTTTGGTCCTGGAGCTGGCTGCTGATGGGGTACTCGTCTTCGTTTTGTTACTAAATGATGCTCAACCTCCTCTTCTTCAAAGTCACTGTCAGACTCTGAATTTTCAGAAATGTGAAATATTCTGAAACCTCTTTGTCAACATCATCATCCGAAGCCCCTCTCTCTTCCAAAATCAATTGGATGGCCCTCGCAGCAGATAATCTTTTGCCATCTTGATCAGTTGTGATAAAGAACCACACTGGCAAAGTCTTATTTATAGTATTATGCCCCTAATTTGCAGGTGGGACACGGTATGAGAAAATAAAATTTGGATCCCTCAAGAAAGAGGGTAAAATGTGCGGGAATGTAAGAGCAGACGGTGTTGATAGTTGAATTTTCAACAATGTTGCAACTTTGTGCGGAGCAGGAGGGGAAGAAAACACTATCAGCAGCACCAGAAAGGAGGAAGACAGAGTGTGGGAACACAGGACCTGCACTTTCAACACTTTTATTAGACCTGGGTCCAGTGGACCCGAATACCTTGTATGTAATGTAAATGCGTGGGGGGAGGTACAGTATGAGGTCATTGAAAATTAGTTCGGATTTATGTTCTTCACAGAAAATAAGCCAAAGCCAATGAATTTCAGGTTGAAAAAATAATTAATTGTTTAATTTTTCTTTTGAAAAAAACTGAAAACGGGTCTCACAGACCCGAACACCATACAAGGGTTAAACTACTTAAAACTCATAAATGTCTTCAAGCTCACACTGAGGCCTGTGGGGCACAATCAGCCACTGAGACAGTACACACATTTATATGTGTATTTGTATATGAATATTTCATACTTTAAGGCTGCTTGTTTATTTAAGGGAGATACAAAATACATTGGAATTGTACATAATGATTGATTTGTTCACATTGTCACATCTTAATTTTTAAGTGAAATGTGCATTTTGAGTTTATACACTGTGTATATAAGGCAACTGTTTCCTTTTGCAGTATTTTTGTGTGGTGCGTTTTTCTATTTCTTAACAAAAGGTGAACAAAGGTGTTTAAGTTCACCTAGGATGATTTGTTTTAATTTTCACATGGTCTTACTGAGGTGATGCGAATTGACAAATGCATTCTATTTTTTGAGGGGGTGGCATGTGCTGGAAAAGCTAGCTTGAAAAGGGACCTTGTAGGTGCCTAAAAAGTGCTTGAATTTGACCCTGAAAAAGGCGTATGAACCCTGGTATTAACAAAATATTTCTATATCAGTAAAGTTTTAGTAGCCAGTTATTATCCTAACCCCCAATTCGTTATTATCAGGTTGTATTTAAAACTTCCTGAAAAATTTTCAGCTGATCCAAAATGCTGCAGCTTACTGGCAGGGATTAGAAAGAGAGAGCGTACTGACTCCTCCTAATTATATCCCTGTTAAATCCAAAGTCAAATGTAAAATCCTGCTCCTCGCGTACATTGTCTTGAATGATCAGTCCCTGTCTTATTTTAAAGACCCTATAGTACCTTATCACCCCAATAGATAGTGATTTATCAAGTGTCTTGAGGCAGCAGTTGTTGTAGTTTGGGGCTGTATAAATAAAATGACATTTAAAGTAACAGATTTTGAAACACATTTCAAGATAATGTTACAGATGGATGAGAACCTAACAGAGGGAAATGGACCGGCAGAAGCTGTAAAAGACGAGGATATGGAGGTTACAGTAACATCTCAACTAGAAGATGTCCTGGTGACCTCTGACAATGCTGAGATGGTGTCAAACACACAAACACTTTTAGAAGAAGAAAGGGCAGATGCACAAAGGCACTCAATAGCAGCAACCGTGTCTTTAGACACGCATAAGAGCAGCGAGGATTCTGAGGACTCGGACAGGTATGAAAACGCACAGCTGTCAGCGTGGTAAAACAAAGACGGGTGTCGCTAATGCTCTTTTCCTGTCCTCAGTGACAGCTCTTCCTCATCATCTTCATCCTTCTCTTCTCCCTCTGCACCTGCGGCTGTGGAAGAAGTTGATGAAGGTTTCAGCCAACCAGCACCCATCAAAACGCGAGATGAGATTCTGCTCGAGGTCAGTCTGTAATTGTATGTATGTGTGTTCTTGTTAAAACAGCGGTCCCTCTTTTACCGCGGGAGTTACGTTCTAAAAATAACCCACAATAGGTGAAATCTGCGAAGTAGCCAACTTTATTTTTCACAATTATTATAGATGTTTTAAGGCTGTAAAACCCCACACTACACACTTTATACACTTTTCTCAGACAGGCATGAAATTTTTCACACTTCGCTCTCAAAGTTCAAACCTTCGTAGAAAAATAAGTTCAGTGTTATAGAATGAAACCAAAGGAACCGGCAGATGACGACGTTTCGTCGACATTCGTGTGTTTGATGGGGATAAAACTTAAAAAACGTACAGTACAGCACTTCAGAGTCACACTGCGAGCGATCAAAGATTTATGTAAATTTGGCAAGCTGCACACATTCTGTACTGTACAAGGAGACATGGCATGAGATTGATTGACAATGGTCTACAGCCAATCAGGATGCAGAACAAAATGTGCTGTTTTAAAAAAAAAAAGCATGCAAAATTGCACCAAAAAAAAATCTGCGAAAGGTGAACAGCATTATAGCGAGGGACCACTGTAGTCTAATATTAATTGTAACACTGAAGGGACGGTAATGGTTTGTGTTAGGGCTGGGCAATGTGAAGAAAATCTAATAATAATAGCTTTGGCTATATACCAATATACCATATAGTGCCTACTGATTCAAATTAACCATTCAACATGGTTTTTTTGTTGTTGTTGTTGTTTTTTTTTGTTTTTTTTGAATGATATGGTTGAAAATAACATTTGTTTCTGGAGGTTATTTAAATATAGATAAATCAAAAGACTTAACCTTTAAGTTTTAAAATGTACCTCAACAAAGTACGAATTAAAGACAGCTAAGAGGGTACATTCGTTTGTACTTCACAGTGCAAATGGATAATGACCCAAAACACATCGCAACAGCAGCTCAGGTCTGTTTTTCAGTGGCAGGACAGAGCATGTTTTTCAGTTATTAAATGCAAAACTGAATCCAGAGAGACCCTCAAACGACAGAAACTGAACATAGGTCAAGTCGAGGCAGTCAAGGGGCAAAACACAGCATTGGGTCATGCACATAAGATAAGATAACCTTTATTAGTCCCACACGTGGGAAATTTGTTTTGTCACAGCAGGAAGTGGACAGTGCAAAAGTTATGAGGCAAAAATTAGAATACAATAAGAATAAATACAGTACACAACTGTATAGAATAGAATAAAATAAAATACTATATACAGTAGAATAAAATAAAATAAATATACAATAAGATAAAAATAGAATACAAATACTATATACAACTGAGTAAAAATACAACGATGACAGAAAGGATTATTGCACTTAGTATTATTGCATATGTATGGATGTGTGTGCTTGATCAGTTAAAGTCTTTATTATGGAGTCTGACAGCAGTGGGGAGGAAAGACCTGCGAAATCTCTCCGTCCCACACCGTGGGTGCCGCAGTCTCCCACTGAAGGAGCTGCTCAGTGCTGTCACAGTCTGCTGCATGGGGTGGGAGATGTTGTCCATCAGGGATGACAGCTTAGCCGCCGTTCTCCTGTCACTCACCACCTCCACTGGGTCCAGAGGGCATCCTAGAACAGAGCTGGCCCTTCGGATCACCCTGTTCAGTCTCTTCCTGTCCCCAGCAGAGATGCTGCCGCCCCAGCAGACCACGCCATAAAAGATAGCAGAAGCCACAACAGAGTCATAGAATTTCTTCAGGAGTGGGCCCTCCACTACAAACGACCTGAGTCTCCGCAGCAGGTACAGCCTGCTCTGCCCTTTCCTGTAGAGGGCGTCTTAGTTATGAGTCCAGTCCAGTCTATTGTTCAGATGAACACCAAGGTACCTGTAGCTGTCCACAGCCTCAATGTCCATACCTTGGATGTTCAGTGGTTGCAGTGGAGAATGCTTGTGCCTGCGGAAGTCTACCACCAGTTCCTTGGTTTTACTGGCGTTGATCTGGAGGTAGTTCTGCTGGCACCAGTCCACAAAGTCTTGGGTCAGACCTCTGTACTCCTTGTCGTCCCCATCAGTGATGAGGCCGACTATTGCAGAGTCATCAGAGAACTTCTGCAGGAAGCACTGGGTGGAATTGTGGGAGAAGTCTGCAGTGTAGATGGTGAAGAGGAACGGAGCCAGAACCGTTCCCTGTGGGGCCCCCGTACTGCAGACGACCCTGTCCGACACACAGCCCTGAGTCCTCACATACTGTGGTCGGTCGGTGAGGTAGTCCAGGATCCAGGTAGTGAGGTGATGGTCCACTCCAGAGTTCACCAGCTTGTCCTTTAGAACCGAGGGAAGAATAGTGTTGAAGGCACTGGAGAAATCAAAGAACATGATTCTCACAGTGCTTCCAGCGGTCTCCAGGTGAGCGAGGGAACGATGTAGGAGGTGAATGACGGCATCATCCGCTCCAATGCCAGGCTGGTAGGCAAACTGAAGTGGGTCCAGTGATGAGCTTATTAGGCGCCGAAGCTGAGCCAGGACCAACCGCTCCAGGGTCTTCATCAGGTGGGATGTCAGAGCCACCGGCCTGTAGCTGTTGAGGTCCTTGGGGCGTGAAGTCTTTGGCACTGGTACAACACAGGAGGTTTTCCAGAGCTGTGGGACTCTTCCCAACCTCAGGCTCAGGTTGAAGAGGTGCTCCATCACCCCACACAGTTGGTCCGCGCAGGACCTGACGACCCTCGAGCTGATGCCATCTGGACCCGCTGCCTTCTTGCCATTAATCCTCCTCAGTTCCCTCCTAACCTGGGTGGTTGAGAGAGACAGGCTGGAGCCTTGTGTTGAGTGTGTATTGGATGCTGTTGTTGGGGGTGGGGGGGAGTGAGCAGGGTGAATAGAGGAGGTGTGAAGTGTCTGAGGTGGAACAGCAGCAGTGGGGGTGGGTGAGTCTGCAGCCGATGTTGCAGACTGCCTCATGGCTGAGTCAAATCTGTTGAAGAAATGATTCAGTTCATTTGCCCATCTCACATCCCTCCCAGGCAGAGAGTTCTGCTGTTTGTGGCCTGAGATGGTTCTGAGGCCTCTCCAGACTTCACCAACGTTGTTTTGTTGAAGCTGGTTCTCCATCTTCTGCCTGTAGCTGTCCTTCCCATTCCTTATCAGTCCCCTCAGCTCTCTCTGCACCCTTTTCAACTCCTCTTTGTCTCTGGATTTGAAGGCCCTCCTCTTCTGCTTGAGGACAGCTTTAATTTCTGGGGTAATCCAAGGTTTGTTGTTGGAGAAACACCGTACAGTCCTGGTAGGTACAGTGTTATCCACACAGAAGTTTATATAGTCAGTAATGCATGTAGTAAGGCTGTCGATGTCCTCACCGTGGTCATCACAAATCACCTCCCACACAGTCGACTCAAAACAATCCTTAAGAGCCTCCTCGCTCTCCTCTGACCATCTCTGTACTGTGCGGGTGGCTGGTGGCACCCTGCGCACTAAGGGCTCATACACAGGGACAAGGTGCACCAGGTTGTGATCAGATCTGCCCAGGGGAGGGAGAGGTGATGAACTGTATGCCTCTTCTGCATTGGCATACAGTAAGTCCAGTGTTTTATTGACTCTGGTTGGGCAGGTCACATACTGGGTGAAGGTGGGCAGTGTGGAGTCCAGTGAGGCATGATTGAAGTCCCCTGATATTATGAGAAGGGCTCTCGGTGATTGTGTTTGCAGTCTGCTGACCACAGAGTGGAGAGAGTCACAGGCTGCATCCGCGTTGGCCGAGGGGGGGACATACGCTGTTATCGCGATAACATGCGAGAACTCCCAGGGCAGGTAGTACGGACACATGCTAACGGCTAACAGCTCAATGTCTCTGCTGCAGAGTTGCTCTTTTACAGTGATGTGCCCAGGGTTACACCATCTGTCGTTCACAAAAACTGCCAGTCCCCCTCCTTTCCTCTTACCGCTGTCTCTGGTCCTGTCCGCTCGCAGCAGCTGGAATCCCGGTAGTGTCACGCTTGTGTCCGGAGTTAGCGATGTTAGCCACGACTCCGTTAGCATCATGATGCTACATTGCCGGTACTCCCTCTGTGACCAGGTTAGCGACATGAGCTCATCCATCTTATTGGGCAAAGATCTTACGTTTCCAATGATTACAGAAGGAAGAGATGGTCGATAACGTCTCCTTCTCGGGCGACGGCGCTCCTTCCCAGCACGACACCCCCGTCTTTTCCTCCTCAGCTCGCTGGGAATATCGGGTCTGTCCGCCGGCAGTACAGCTGCAGGACTCAGCGCTAACAGCTGATCCTTACTGTAAACAAAGGATCTCTGCTCTGGGTCCCCAGACACGGGTGAAAAAAGTAGAAATAAACTGAGAAAAACGACCAGGACTAGCACAAAACGGTAGAACATGGTTGCAGAGTCTAATTACTAATACGTTAGTTATAAAAAAATTACGAGAAAAAAGATAAGAAAGAAAGAAACTCAGAATGAGCAGAGCTGCTGTAACAGGCTGCCGCACACGGGGGGCGCCGGAAGTTGGGTTCTAGACTGACAAAGCACTTAAAAAGATTTTACTTGTTTGGATAAAATCCCTGCATTTATGATCAGTAATTACAATAAGAGGTAAATCTTTCATCATTTGCCTCACACAGTATACTTATCATGGGGAACTAGAGCTACATTAACCTCCCAAGCAGAGATGGCCTGCGTTAACAGGATAATGAGTGACTCGTTACTAAGTCTGATACCAACATTTTGGCAGAAATGCTTAATAAGAATTAAATGAATAAAAATTACTCATGGGAAGTAATAAAATGTCTAGATTTTATATGTGATTGTTCCTGTAATGATGTCATGTGATGTGAAGTAAAAATACCAACAGCATTAATGCCACATTGAGCATTGTTAGTTATTACATTCCAACCAACAAGAACCACTATTAGCGTCTTATTGTCCACACTTTGCCACCATGTGTTTTGTTTTTGGGGGTTTTTTTGGGGGGGGGGGGTGTCCTGAATTCTGTACGCCCTTCAGCCTTATGTCTAAATGTCATGTTGTTTGTGTGCAGGAACTTCCGGCAGTGGAGGAAGTATGTATTACCTTACCAGAAGAAGCAGAATTGCAGCCACTGGGCACCGTGTCGAATATTATACAGCAGCTTGGTAAATATAGGCACAGATTGTTTTAAGGCTACATTAGTGTCTACCAGAGGAAGAGCAGGAACAGTTTTGGCTTGTGTTTCAACTTTGTCTTTTACCACTGCTTCTGTCACTGCAGTTATTATCCAGTCCCTGAAAGACACGCCCCCTCTTAATGATGGCAGCATTATCTTCAAGTCTGATCGGGAGGCTGCAGCCAAGGTAAGGATGCCAACAGAAGCTTCTCTTTTGTAGAATGCAATAAGTTGCCTGTGTGGTTTTAAGGCCTTTACACACTGGACGAGTAAAATGCGTGCAAACGTTTTGTGCATTTAAAAATATTTTTCAGACTCAACTATTCTTAATGCAGCCGTTCACACCAAACACATAATTACACATGAAAAATTTGCAGCATTTATTTTTACATCAGGTTTAATTTTTACGGCGCTTCAGGTGCATATAAACATATATGACCACTCACAACTTTTTCCAGTGCTGATGCAATCAAAGTGTTCAGTATGACGGAACATTTGATTGTTGTGTCGCAGAACAGCTCATAATCGGCTCTCGGCCTCCTCGGGTATGGTCCCCGTCTCTGCTAACGAGCTCAAACTGCCTCACTGACATCCTGAAATACGTACAAAAGAGGCCGTGATACAGCTTCAACTCCTTGATCAAACCGTGAAATTATCCCTGCTTGAAAGTGGGTTGAACCCAGAAACCTTTTTTTTTTTTTTTTTTTTTTTTTTAATTTTGTAGAATTAATTTTCTGCAAAAGCTCTGTGTATGTACACTACCAGTTAAAACTTTTAGTACACCCCAATTTTTTCTTTCTTTTTTTTTTTTTTTTTTTTTTTTAATTGAAAATTTGCAGATGATGTTAGCTTCATCAGGTGGTGACCCAGTTTGCATTGGAGCAGTTTGTGGTCAAGTATGAAGCAGCGGGAGTTGGAATTAGCACCTTCAAGTTTGAGACCATGGCTCTCAGCCGGAAAAGGATGGAATGCCTATTGCCCCAAGTGGAGGAGTTGATACATTACAGGTTGCATGTAGAAAACCTCAATTTTTCTTTTTTCTTTTTTTTTTTTTAAATTGAAAATTATGCAGTTTAATGTCTTATTGCACTCTGAAATGAAAGCATAGTACAAATAAGAAGAAATCATGGAATCAATTCATAGACCAAAATGTATTCTAAACTTTTGACTCATCAAAGTAGTCCCCTTGGGCAGATAGAACAGCTGAACACACCCGTGGCATTCTTTCTACAATAGGAATCAAATATTCTTCAGAAAGTTGTTCCCATATCTGTTGCAGAAGTTCCCATAAATGTGGACCTTGTAGGTTGCTTTGCTTTCACTCTTCCGTCCAGTTCATCCCAAACCAGCTCGATGGGTTTAAGTCTGGAGACTGTGCTGCCACTCCATGTTTTCAAGCTTACCATCTTGTTCTTTTTTTCCTGAGGTAGTTCTGGTATAGTTTGGACTAGGGCTGTTCGATATAACGATATATATCGGATGACGATATAAAAACGTCTATCGTTTTATTTTACGCTATCGTTTGTTTCGTGGTGTCGCAAAATAAACTGTTTACAGCAATATATTTTCTCATCGTTTTGATGGTCACTGTAGTGGCTATATAAATTTCTTAAAGTTCTCTCTTTCTCTTATATTTAATATAACCACACTACGGACAGACAAGCGCCTATTTTTATGCGTTGTCGTTAGCAACAACGACGGTAAAACCATTGCGTGTCCGCTTGTTTATTTTCCACATAAACCTTTCACAATAAAGCTCAAGATCCTGTTGAGACTTTTCAAAATAAACTGAATCACGTGAAAGAGTATGCAGAGAGTTTATGGATGAGAAGCAAAAAAAGAGCCGTCGGGTGCTAAAAAATAAACCTTAGACTCAAACGTTAGAACAGGCTTTTTCCCCGCAGCACGCCGTGTAATAAATACTCACAAAGAAAACGGCGGCTGTTACAACTTATGACTAAAAATGTATCGTTTCATGCATCGTTAAAACACTCGACTCCAGCTACAGGACGCCCAGCTGGAAACACTTCACGCAAGTCGAGCTGCCCGAGATTCACAGAATTTACAGAAAATTTTAAATTTTTGTGATTTATATCGTTATCGGGACGATAGATGTCTTATATTGGGATATGAGATTTTGGTCATATCGCACAGCCCTAGCTTGGACTTATGTTTTGGGTGATTATCTTGCTGTAGGATGAACCCCTGACCAACTAGACGCATACCAGAGGGTACTGCATGATGCTGCAGAATGCTGTGGTAGCTGTTTTGGTTCCAGGTACCTCAATCTGGTCACCGAACCTGGATCCAGCAAAACAACCCCAGACCATCACACTTCCTCCTGCATGTCTGACAGTCGATGCCACACACTGTGGAACCATCCTTTCCGACTCGATGGCGTACAAAGATCCTGCGTGATAAACTGAGGATTTCAAATTTTGATTCATCAGTCCATAATGCCTTCCTCCAGTCTTCAGTAGTCCAGTGGTGGTGTGCCATGGCCCAGACAAGCCTCTTTGTCTTATTCTGATGCAATGGGTTTCTTGCTTCAACTCATTCTCCCTGCAGCTTGAAGTCTTGTCTTCACAGTTGAAACTGAGACTTGCTTACTACGACAGTTTCTCTGTAGGACAAACCAACATTGATAAGTGACATGATGGTGTGTCTCTCTTCCATTGTTAATTGTCTTTTTCTCACAATTTGTGTAACAACACACTACTTTCTGCAGTACAATACAGTTCAACTGATGCTCAGGAGGGTATGGTACCACAGTGTGTTCCAGCACTGCTTTTATGCAGACAGAAGGGGTTGGAAGTAATCCAGAAAAATAGGAATAGCTGTAGAAGCTTGATCAACCTCCATTGCTGCAGAACAACAAAATTGTTAACTGGTTTTGTGTTTCCTGAAAAAGGCCTCTTTGTATAATCTGAAATGTACTTAATGTTTCAGTTTTGTAAAGGCCTTTACACCCAATGATATGACAGTGTTGCACTGTTTCTTTGTTTCAGGTGTTTGAGGTATTTGGCCCGGTGTCCAGCCCAATGTATGTTTTACGTTTTAATTCTGTGGATCAGATTATCAGTAAAGGGCTGAAAGAGGGTACTACCCTTTATTATGCACCAGCCATCAAGGAGTACACGGGATACATCCTCACACAGCAGCTAAGACTGTAAGTACACCATTAGCACCATAAGTATTGGTCTCAGTACACTACTGATGTGGTTCTGTTGGTTCATAATCATGTCTTCTAATATGCACTGGAGAGTATGAAACGGCTGGTATGAGAGTCAGCACCTGCAATATGGTTCTTGCCCTCTGTGTTTGACAAGAGAGGCTGTTGCTCACCTACCATGTCTCACTTTGTGAACCAAAATGGTCACAATATCAGCAGATGAGGTGATGAATGATATAAATAAGTCATCAGGAGATGTAGCTCTGATGTTCATGAGCTCATCTCTGGTCTAAGAAGTTCTGGTTGTATGGCAGTTTATCAGAGTGCACTGAAACACAGAGCTGGCTGTCTCCGGCACCATCACGAAGGTCCAACTCTGCAATACAGTCACATTTGGATTCCTTTGCTTCCAATCCATTTCAGTGGTGTACAGGGGCATATAGATATTTAGTTTTCTGTGTTGACTGTGTGTAAGCTACTTTTGATTCAGTGAATGGAATCTGTTAGGCTAAGCTCATGTCTGTGTGTTTGTTTGTTATGTTCAAATGAAAATATTTGTGTGCAGATTACAGGGATCAGATGCATCCTGGAAAAATGACCAAGAACCGCCAGAAGAGGTATGTATCCAACAACGTCCATTGTTCATTGAGTCATATTCACACAGATGTTTTGGGTTTGCTGAGTGGATACTAGTGCTACTTGCTGCCCAACTCTTTGTGGACTTCTTTTTAAATTTGTTTTATCACTTTATTCTTGGCTTTGGTTGTTATACTCCATCATTGCATACCACAGTTTTGTTGAGGAGTGTGATCCCTCTATAGTTGGAGCTCACCCTACAGCCCCCGTTCTTAAAGATGGGAACCACTACCCCGGTCTGCCAGTCCAGAAATACTGCCCCTTATCTTCTCACAGCATTGTAGAGGTTTGTCAACAAAGACAGCCCCACAACATCAAGAGCCTTCAGAAACTTCATCCACCCCAGGGGCCCTGCCACCAAGGAGTTGTTTAACTGCCCCCGTGTTGTCCCCCTCATCCCCAGAGTTGCTTCCTCTATGGAAGACGTGTCAGTGGGATTAAGGAAGTATTCCCTCCACCGGCTGACAATATCCTCAGTCGCCCACACTATACACTGTGCATGTAGAGCACTTTTCCCCTCCCGAGTTGCTCCCACACTCGAGTTTTTGGTTCAGCCACTGCCCGAGCTGCTTTCCGCTTGGTCTGTCCATACCCGTCGGCTGCCTCCGAAGGCCCACAGGCTTACCTATCTCGATAGGATTCCTCTTTCAGGATTCCTTCTTTATGACTTCTGTCTCAGATTTTTATAATTAATATATTTTTCCTCTCTCTCCGCCTATTAGGCTCTAGACTATAGTGATGATGAGAAAGAGCAGGAAGCAAAGAGGAAACTGAAAAATGCCAAAAAGAAGGACACTAGCCACACAGGTACTCCCATAAAAACACATCTCCAGTTCTTCTATGTGATGTATAGCATGGATAATGACATCCGCTGAAATTAGAATACTGTAGAACAGGGGTCGGCAACCTGCGGCTCCGGAGCCGCATGCATCTCTTTAGTCCTTATAGTGCGGCTCCGCGTGGTTTGGGAAAATAAATTATAAGTATTTAGCTGAAGTGTATTTTATTTATGTTAGTTTTTTTTTTAACTTGTAGCTCTAAATTGGAAGATCGTTGTGACATTGTAATATAAAAATAAAATTATATTTTATTATTTTTTCATCGCTCAAAATAAACGTCACACTCGCGGAAGCCGGTGTACCCGCCAAAACGCCGTGCATTTATCGAGACTTTCAAGATCTTCGGATCCACATTGTCAGCAGCTGTTCTCCACCGTGAACTATGTTAAAAACAAACACTGCTCACGCCTCACAGATGACAGCTTACAGTCCTGCGTAAAGATGAAAGTACAGCCCCATTGTAAACATATCGCGGCAGACCCGACGATGTTTGCATGAACACGCTTTTCAGCATCTCTTTATTGATCACTTTTCACACACTGTTGCTGTACGCACACAGCCGGCTGTAGCTTTTCAGCTCACAGCCCGACATATACCAACAATAGCATAGAGAGCACAGACGTTAAGGTGGCGAGGCGTGATTGCGGGTGCCGCTCAGGTGCGTCCGCCTCCCCTGCAGCGGTGCTGCAGACCACACCCGGCCACACACATTAACCAGGTAAAATACATATTTAGGCAGAATACATTTTTTTGCAGCATAGTGCTATTTTTTTTTTATTATATTTTTAAAAGTCAGGTCAAGGCTCCAAAAGCCCAAAGGCGATATAACAGTTTTTGTTTGCTACTTGGATCATTTTAGTTCAGCGTCTTTCCTTTTGTTATATTTCTTTAAGAGTTAAAAATGTATTAATTACATAAATAAAATGTAATTTTCTCTGTAGCAGTTCATGGATTTCATAAGCAACACACCTTAGTTGTTCACACAAAGCATAAAAGTAAAAAGCAATATATACAGTATTATCTTAATTTTAGATGTCAAAAAGTATTTGTGGCTCCCAGTGTTTTCTTTTGCGTGGAAACCTGTTCCAAATGGCTCTTTGGGTCTTAAAGGTTGCTGACCCCTGCTGTAGAAGCACAAGTTTATATGCAGGTTTTCAGGTTTTGAAGATTAAAGTGTTACAAATAGAAGGTGATACCATCCATCTTTAAATACCATTTCTTGTTTTCCCCCTCTTTTCTAGACAATCGTACTCAGAACCCTTCGCAGCGGCAACATAAGCATGATGGAAGGGGCTTCCCACCAAGACATACAAGGCCTTCTTTCCACCACCAGCACTCATTTAGACAGACAGAGCCACCACGACACACAAATTTCCCCCCTATGTTCATCCCTACTCCCTGTCCTTATCCTCCACCTCCTCACCATTTTCCTCCCTCTAACTTCCCTCTCTACCCCCCTCCTCCTCCTCCTCCTCCAACTTTCTTCAATCCTGCTTTCTCCACTCCTTTCTGGCTGCCAAACTCTGCCCCCTTTTCTGACTTTCCCCGCCCTCCCCCTCCTCCTCCTCCACCTCCTCCACCTCAGTGACAACTTGCAAAAACTATCAGCAGTGTCTTGTCTCTGATTGTAAAATAAAGCATACTTACTGTAGGTAATAGAGTTGTGTACTTTGCCACTTTTATGTCTGTTATTTGTGACACAACCACATGCATTGTGTTCACCATCCTGTAAGATCATGAAAGATCACATCACATGAAAATGATATTTTTATATTCTAAAAAAAAATCTGCCATTAATTTTCAAGCAGGGGCCAAAAAGCAAACTGGTGTACTCTGAAACTCAGCATGTTTTCATCATCAGCAACTTTCTTTAGTCTTTCCATGTTGTTAGACAGATGGTGGACTAAACTGGAACTTAACTGACTACCAGCAGCTCGTTTTAGTGTCAAAGAGCTGCGTAAAGCTGCATGTACACTGAAATTGCTCAGATTAAGCACTTTATTTCAGGACTTTTTTTTAAAAGCTTGTATTTTTAATGCAAACCTCATTTTACTTGAAATGAAAAATGAACATTTTATTATTAGAGTGCGATCAGCTCAGTGTGATGATGATTATTAATAAACATTGCAAAAATACTGTCGAATTGTGCTTTGGTCATTTTATTTTCCAGCCTATTGTTGACTATATAAAGACACTGATACTGCTGTTATAGTGCTTCCACGCATACTACATTTAACTACAGTGGATGTATAACTTTATAGTATTTCGAACCTTTGTTTGGGGAAGTTTTGTTGAAGTAGACCTGAAAATTTAATTCAATACCCCAGCTTTAGTGGATGTGTGAGAAGACATTAACATGACTTAAATTCTGATGTGTGCACTATTCTTGGTACACGCATTATATGAAGCCACAGGAAAAATTGCATATGTTTTTAGATTCTGAACAAAAACGAACTAAACACAAACCTCTGCAGAAAAAGAGAAAAGTAACTTCACATATCTAGGTCTATAGTTTTTGTTTTTTTATTGTTCCTTATGTGTACTCTGTTCCATCAAACCCCACCTAAAGCAATTTTGTCAGTTAGTGGAAAACCTAAGCCAGTATAGTAGGAATAAGCCAGTGCAAGTGGCAGTAGCCGTTTTCGAGACTCTTTCATTTCTGGGGAGCTGGCAAGCCATCTTTATATACACTTTACCGTTCAGACTGAAACACAGGTTAAACCTCACTACTGTCTGTTTTTGTTCTAGATACAAGATGTAATCATAACCTTTAGGGACTACACCCATTCATCAAAAAAATTCTAAGTTGTTCTACTGTGTTATGTTGCCATTGTGCCTTAATAAACCTGGTTCATTAAAGCACGTTGTTGGATTGAGCAGAGTGAACGCGTATGCTGTCCGCTTCACTCCATGGCCTATCCGTCTGCCTGTGGTGAAATGTGCTGTGCTCATTGAGGAGGCTGGAAGTCTCAACACTGAAGTTTACCAGAATCCCCCACACACAGACCAGTACCTATCAGCTGAAATTAGAATACTGTAGAACAGGGGTCGGCAACCTCTGATCAGAAGATTGGAGGTTTGAATCCAGTGAACGGCTACCCTGCGGTACTCGTGAGCACTTGTGGTACTTGGATGAACCTTGGATACCTCGGATGAAAAATCAACATCAATTCAATGTCGTCTTGCTATCTGAGTACACACTACTCCTGGGGTGCTGGATTGGTGGCTGCCCACTGTTTCACTGGGTTAAATGCAGAGGGTAATTTCCCTATGGGACTTAATAAAGTATACAGAACAACATTGTCATCTCTTATCCAGCAGGTTTATTGAGAGAATTTTCTCCAAGCACGACATCCCAGTTCACTTCAGACCCAGACAAAACTCACAAACGCAAATAGAAACTCAGCACATGCTGTGTACTGCAGCAAGGAGTGCCCAGCCCACTACTCTGCAATGAAATAACAATAAATCTTGTGTACCCTTTTTTAAGTGCGATTGTGGCGTTTTTCTACTGGTCACTATTAGAACTAGTTTCTTTCTTGCACTGAAGCCATTTTGTTGCCCACTTTCTAACATATTGAGTAAACTGTGACAAAAACAGAATTTTAAAATGAAGGAAAGTATTCCTATGTAGCTGAAATAAAAGGGGATTTTGTTAAAATAAATGCTCACGTGAAAATGTGCTAAAGACATATTTCACTAGCTGGGCCTACATTCTCAGTTACGATTGATGGTGGTGGATAAAGAAACGTGAACAGATGCTGCAATTTGGGGTGGGTCTCCAAGGGGACTGGCAGTGGCTCCCAGGCCAGGCAGATCCCCATGTACTAATGCAAATAAAAAAGCAGGTGCGGGGGATGAAATAAAGCACCAACAACCGGTATGACGAACGCGGCCGTGACTCTGGCAGACGAGCTAAACACTTTCTATGCTCGCTTCGAGGCTGCAGCTAAGGTCTCCAACAATGCTAGTGCTAGCGGCGCTAACGGCTGCAGACAGGAAGATACTGCAAGCACTGGAAACATGCTCGTCATCTCCGAGCATGAAGTAAGGAGAGCCTTCAAGAGAGTGAACACCAGGAAAGCAGCAGGACCAGACGGCATCCCAGGTCGTATCCTCAGAGACTGCACATATACCAGCTAGCTCCTGTGTTCACTGAGATATTCAACATCTCTTTATCTCAGTTGGTGATCCCCACATGCTTCAAAGAGTCCATCATTGTTCCCGTCCCGAAGAAACCCCACCCTGCTTCTCTCAATGACTATCGCCCTGTAGCCCTCACCTCAGTAGTGATGAAGTGCTTTGAACACCTGGTCAGAGACTTCATCATTTCTTCACTACCAGACACACTGGACCCACTACAGTTCGCTTACCGTCCAAATCGTTCCACAGACGATGCCATCTCTCATCTCCTCCACACATCACTCACTCACTTGGACACTAGAAGGGGGAATTATGTTAAAATGCTCTTCATAGACTACAGCTCTGCATTTAACACCATAATTCCCTCCACACTCACCACCAAGCTGGAGCATCTGGGACTCAGCTCATCTATGTGTCAGTGGATCTCCAACTTCCTAACTGGCAGACCACAGGCAGTAAGGATGGGCGGACATGTCTCAGCCTCCACCACTCTCAGCACTGGAGCCCCCCAGGGGTGTGTTCTGAGCCCCCTGCTGTACTCTTTGTACACATATGACTGTGTGGCCACTACCAGCTCCACCACCATCATCAAGTTTGCTGACGACACCGTCGTGGTGGGCCTGATCTCTGATAACAACGAGACGGCCTACCTGAAGGAGATTAGGAATCTGGAGAACTGGTGCCAGAGGAACAACCTCCTTCTAAACGTCAGTAAGACAAAGGAGCTGATAGTGGACTTCAGCACTAAGCAGGAGAGGAACTACCAGACCCCCGTCATCAACGAGTGCCCAGTGGAGAGAGTGGACAGCTTCAAATACCTCGGAGTTCACATCACGCAGGACCTGTCATGGTCCTGTCACATCAACACCGTGGTGAAAAAGGCCCGTCAGCGTCTCTACCACCTCAGACGCTTGAGAGACTTCCAACTGCCCTCCAAGGTGCTCAGGAACTTTTACTCGTGCACCATAGAGAGCATCCTGGCGGGAAACATCTTAACCTGGTTCGGGAACAGCACCATGCAGGACAGACGAGCTCTACAGAGGGTTGTGCGGTCAGCTAAGCGCACCATCCGCTCCGAGCTCCTTGACCTGCACTCAATCTACAGCAGGCGGTGCTGGACCAAGGCCAGGAAGATGGTGAAGGACCTCAGCCATCCCAACAACAGACTGTTCTCTCTGTTGAGGTCAGGAAAGCGATTCCGCTCCCTGAAGACCAACACAGAGAGACTGAGGAGGAGCTTCTTCCCGCAGGCGATACGGTCTCTCAATCACACCACCACACAGTACTGACCCACACATATGGTTCTTACACACACACTGGACTTTCTGGACTTTGTTTTTGCACAACACTGGTCACTATATTCTTCATTTCCGGTTAATACTTGTACAGCTGCTGTTATTGTGTATATATTTATTTATATTTAGATTTCTTCATACATTCTTATATAGTTCTATATTGTGTATTGTGTATTTTGTTGTACAGTTATTTTATTTTCAACTTTAATTTATATATTTTATCTTATTCTTTCCCAGTTAAATTTACCCTTCATTCTAATTTGTGTTGTACAGTTATTTCATTTTTAACCTTAATTTATATTCTATTCCTTCCTAGTTAAATTTACCCTTTTTAATTTTTCATATTTATTTCCTATCTTATTCATAGCCTTTTCCTTTTTTTTGTTTTCTTTAGGTCACGAGCAGTTGTCCAAGCATTTCACTACATATCGTACTGTGTATGACTGTGTACGTGACAAATAAAATTTGAATTTGAATTTGACATCGCTTTGATTAGTTGAGTATCTGAGGCTGAGACCACATGACTGGAAATATATATATATATATATATCCATCCATTCGCTTCCGCTTATCCTTTTCAGGGTCGCGGGGGGCGCTGGAGCCTATCCCAGCTGTCATAGGGCGAGAGGCAGGGTACACCCTGGACAGGTCGCCAGTCTGTCGCAGGGCCAACACACAGAGACAGACAACCATTCACACTCACATTCACACCTAGTGGCAATTTGGATTATCCAATTAACCTATCCCCACAAGTTGCATGTCTTTGGACGGTGGGAGGAAGCCGGAGTACCCGGAGAGAACCCACGCAAACACGGGGAGAACATGCAAACTCCACATATATATATATATATATATATATATATATACATACATATACATATATATACATATATATATATACACATATATATATGAGCTTGAACTTGAAAGATTCAAGTTGCAGTTATTTATATTTCCTATCACCTTAAATCTTCACTCAAAAGTGTATATACAGATGTATTATACATAAGAGACAAATATTGTTCGGTTAATATGTTGGCATTATTACATTTGGCGCAGTGCTTACATATGTGTGTAAAAAGGAAAATGTACGAGCTGTGAAAACTGTGTCTGATAGAATGAAGAGTAGACTGATATATAAACTATTCCTTTATTGGGTGTGAAAATCAGACCATGTCATAACTGCTTTAAGTCATACAGAATAGATATCAGAGCCTTAAACAGGCTGACGTCTGCTAAATGGGTCAAACTGGGCAGAAAGTATACAAACACATAACATCCTTATAGAATATGATGTAACACTATAGATCAACTTAGCTCAGAATATATAAAGCATATAAACAGTTACAGCAATATGATGCAACAAACACAGCAGCTACTGATCCAAAATACTCAAAGCTTCATAGAACTGGAACCAACATTTATTTTTAGCTCCATTCTGCTGCTGATACATACTTTAGGTTTCTGAATATTAATCTTGTTGCTGCCTTTCATAGTGTGTAACTTGAAGGCCCTGAGTACTTTTTCCCACACTGGAAACACTGGGATGATAACATTATTTGAACATTACCTAATAAGACTGATTCAGGACAGACAATTAGTTATGTTAAACTTTTCTAGCAGTCCTTCACAAACAGGGAACAGTCTGTCTATTCTCTCCATCTGTCAGCTGCTGCTGGCTCTTCCTCCTCCTCTTCC